AGCACCTGGTTAAGCAATGTGTGTTGCGAAAGAGATAGTCAGGTGCATTCCGCAAAAATGTTCATCGTTTTAATCTCGCTGCATCGCTAGCCTAAAGCAGCAGAAACTTTCGCAGTAAAATTCGATAGGTTTCTGATGAATTGTATTCTTGTTCTAAAAAGCGCAAACGTGCACGTGTCCTTTCAAAATGAGCGCAAATGTTAATTCACAATCTGTAAATTGCATGAAAAGAATTAGATGATCTTCGACTTTGTCGTTCCAACAGTACTAAAATCCATTCATCTCGAGCAGATCTATTGAATCTATTATTGCTAATTTTGCAGGTAGCCTGGGGACGGCAACGATGGAATGTAGAATTTGAACTTACAAAAATGTCAATATGTGTCGTGGAGGGAATTTTATAAAAAAATCACCAACAAAGTAAAGTAAAGAAGCGGAAGCGAAGTGAAAGAAATGGGACTCCTCTAACAAGGGAAGTACCCCGAGTGGCCGTGGCCTTTCAATATGAGATGCATATCGTCTGAAGCAGCTTCGAACGCTGTCAAATCTGCTTTCCGTTTCTGCGGAACGTTCTTCTGAAGAGAGTTATGGAAGCCTGAAAATCCTATTTTGGAGGCGCTCCTTGAGTTTGAGAGCGCTGCTTGTGCGTTGGTGGTGCAGTGGTGTAATGGTTAGTTGTTGGCATTAAAGGCGAAAGGTCAATGGTTCAAATCCGGTGGAGAGAAAACCGTTTTGCACTATGAATGTGAGTTTGAAAAGCACTCTAATTCGTCTACAGACACTTACTGTTATGCTCTTGGCAAATGTGACCAAAGAAAAAAAATTTTCCGGCATAACTCCTTGTGATGAGACCTTAAACTCTACCTGACTTTATCACTAGTAAAACAGGACCAAACATGGTGAAGCATGTTCATCACCATATTCAAAAAATGCGAATTATCATTAATCGAGAAGATGTTCTCTCCTGCCTTTATGCTCACAAGCCTGTTTAAAGAGTGTGAAATGAATGGAATGTGAATCGAGAAATGTCTGTGTTTTGCCCACTTTGTAATTTCGCTTCACAATCTAATTTCGCTACTTTTCTCCGTACATAAATTTTTTGCGAAGATAACCAAATTTCAACAAGCAAACGGTTCTGCCAGAATTGCCGAGGGCATAACAGTAAGTGTCTGTAGACGAATTAAAGTGCTTTTCAAACTCACATTCATAGTGCAGAACGGTTGTCTCTGCACCAGATTTGAACCATCTCAGACACTCGCGGTTGACTCGCGCAGGGCAAAACGATGTGTAGCCATTGAATGCGTGGGCGACTCGCGAAATCGGTGTCGCGGCAAAATCAGGACACCTGATTTTGTGTCGCGGCAAAAGTGCGCGGCAAAATCGGGGCAAAATGGGGAGACCTGCGCGAGACACCAAAATGTCGCGATCGCGTTCAGAGCACGCGGCCTACGCCCTTACTGACAGCTTTTTGCGTCCTCTAAGCCCTCTCTCACGCCTTCCTTTTGACTTACCTTGAGTCCTTGGTCACGTTGGGTCCCGTTTCCCACGCTTGTTTTTTTTCTGCTGATAAACCCAGTCTTACGTCATAAAATTTATTAGCAAATACCACATGATCTTCTCGAGTAGCGTTTACAATAACATCGAAATGAGACAGGAATCAAAGCACCGCAATCACGACACAAGGTTACGAAAGAACTACGGTTAAGAATGACAACAGCATTAATTTTTTACGACTACTTCATCTTCATCATCAACGTTTTCAGTCTTCTGGATCGTTACGCCTTCTTTGGTAACACTGCTGCCTTCGACCATGACGCGCTTTTTCTGAAAATAAAAAATTATTGTTACCAGGATCGTATAAAACAAACGAATTACCTTTGATGGAAGGAGCATGGACCTATCAGGGTCAAAATGATACCTCCCGATGTCTTCCCTGCAAAAATATAGTTCAGAAGTATCGCTTTCCTTATGAGAAAACTCACAAAGCTCTCCCATTTGCTATCCTCGCCTTACCGCTCCATACTACTCTTTCCTCTGAGAGGACGTCGAATAATTTTTCGCAAGCGTCGTCATTTTCGGCTAAGTCCAACCACCACCTAAATTCTAGTGCACATGAAGGTCTTTCGAGAACATACATACTTATTTGAATTCCGTTTATGCTCATCTGGCGTCCGCAGAAGTTGGTCGCGGTGTAGGCCAAGGGCGTCAAGGATGAAACCTAAATCAGTTATTGAAAGTAATGTACTCAAACACACATTGACCTACTTATTAAGAAATCGACTAATCCTTCCGGGAGGTCCTTAAGATGGTCAAATTTCTCCTTCTTCCCGCTCTGTCTTCAGGCGTACTGTTGAATTTCCGTAGGTGGTTCGCAGGCCTAAACGGTGATTACAAGACGACCTTATCATCTTCATCTATCTGTCGCTTACATTTAGAAAGAAGTGGCGCAAAAAGTCGAGCACCAAAAGGAAATGATCATGCTTGTGCGCGCGTTTTGGTCTCTGCCACTTTTCCATGACTTCAACCATATTGAACTCCTGAAACCAATAATTTTTCCTCGTTGACTGAGAATAGTGACTAAAGACCTTGAAGGGTGGTGCACTCTCACGATGCCAGATCAACGTGTTTTTATATTTAGTATCAAACTATTTATGAGCATGTGTGGCAGTTTATCACAGAATGCTCAAAACACAATAACGTGATTCAAAAAATTGCTCTGAGCTTGCTCAAAGCCTTTGCTCCTTTCGAGTGGTTTGCGCAGAACTTCGCATGGACCGAACTTTCTAGCTAGCTACCCAACTACCACCTGCGGCGAAAACATAATTGCAAATGATGAATAAGCTTCCCATCAAGTATCCATGTTGATTGTACCTGTTTTACATGTTTTTGATCCAACTGATCTACCAACATTGCCCAATTCAAAACTTTGCACGATTTTTCCATTATCTCCGAGATTTGATGTAATTAAGTTGCAATGAGGGTTTCCTTGCCTTAGGGACCTTCTAATATAACCTTAAACAACTTGCAAAGATTGTGGCTGCAAAAGTGGTCCGAACTCTTTACCACTTGCTCCATAGTCTCCGCAGGTATCCACTCGACCACCCGTCCACATCTGCATGCCCTTGGCGCCGCAAGCTCAATGCGAGCCTTAGCCGCATCTTGGGTAAACCATCGCTCATAACTTTGCCCAGAAAATCATTGAGCAGCTAAGGATCACGGATTTGGCATTAGGACCCCAAGAGCAGCAGAATGATATGCATCATGTGTGGAAACCCCTCTTCGATGGATGATCCTTCCCTTGTAAGTAAATTCCGAATTCCGGCTAAGCCAACTGTCAGAAATGATGACGTGCGGGATGAACAATGTGCATAAACTCTTTCATCTTCCGATTTGAGTACAAATCACTGAAAAAAAAAGGCGAGAGTCAAATGAGTGATTTTTCTAAACTCGTGAGATGCAGTACGATAAATGTGAGCTATGCCAGGTAAATTTTGAACTGGAATTGTGTACTCTAAATAATATGGAACTGGAACCGGCAATATTGATGCCAGTTTTTGCACAGAGTTGAACCGTAGATGACATTCTTCATGTGATGAAAAATCTGCTTTAAGAAGTTCAGAAAAAGCATTACAAGCAACCGCAGTTCAAAAATCGCATAACCTCCAAAATTTCGAAAATGACTGTCTTGTAAGCTCATACCATTTTAAGAAATGAGCAACCGCAAAAGAAGAACATTACTTTCTCAGTTTCATAAATAAAAACATGCCTTCTCATTCAGCTCTTGCACGGCCGGAAGATCACTATCCACTTGTGAATCGACATTCTCGCGGCTTTCATCAATGTCATTAACATTCTCTTCTTCCTCTTCTATAAAATCCTGGAATGAGCTTATATCATAGGTGAATCATGGTAATCATAATGCGGAAACTCTTCCGACCTCCTCAAGAACAGGATTATGCTTAGGTCGGCGTTCCCTTCTTGGCTTCGGGGATCGCAACGCAAAATCGTCATCCCATTCGTTTTCGTAAAAGCGCTTGAAAACCAAAATAGTACACGTTAGCATAAATACTCAAAGTCCAGTAATCAGCTAAAGTAAGCAAGCAAAACAATCTAAGAATGAAATATAACTTCTAGAAAGAGAGAAAAAGGGTTCACCTTTACTTCCGGATGATGATCAACGCAGATAATGGCCGTGTGATCAGAAGGACGCGTTCGAAATGAGCGTCTCAAGCTGATTCTCTTTGGTCTAAGCCTGGTTTTTATCGGCATGGAACGTCTCTGGAAAGACATGCTTTGCTAAGTATAGATTCATCTAAGAAAAAAAACAAATGCAACAAATGCAGGGAAGAATTGATCAATACGTCGACGTATAGGTGCGTTATTTCGAAACCTCCTCGCCCGTCGCGACAAAATCGCACCAAAATCCGGACGAAACTAAAATGATGACTCGCGCCGGTCCACCGGATTTTGCCGCGAACGTCCATTTTGTGGGCGGATCCCCTGCGCGAGTCAACCGCGAGTGTCTGAGATTGACCTTTCGCCTTTAATGCCAACAACTAACCATTACACCACTGCACCACCAACGCACATAGCAGCGCTCTCAAACTCAAGGAGCGCCTCCAAAATAGGATTTTCAGGTTTCCATAACTCTCTTCAGAAGAACGTTCCGCAGAAACGGAAAGCAGATTTGACAGCGTTCGAAGCTGCTTCAGACGATATGCATCTCATATTGAAAGGCCACGGCCACTCGGGGTACTTCCCTTGTAAGTAGTCTAAACCGCAGTAGCGCTGAAACAAGTTCTTTTTCTGTTTATATCAAACAAAATTAACGGAACCAGGCATTCTTTGTGGTTCTTAAGAATGGGCGTTTGCATTTATGGAGATTTGCATTTATCAAGACTATTACATTATATGGATTACGGACTACTACTCAAAGTATTACACAAAGTTAACGTAATCCAAGAAAAAGTTGTAGAAAATTCTGTAGAGATACGAATTTTGGACTTTTCCATGATTTATTGTTATGAGCAAGTTTACAAAACCTATATGAGTTTCTATACTGCAGATATAAGCAACGAATCCGAAAGAAACAGAGAGCATCTAAATATACAATATGTACAGATTCAAAGCTCCATGAAAATCTTCAAAACTTCTTCCCTGAAATGTGCAGAATACCCTTGTTGGTGAGATTACTCTTCAAACTCTGAACATCGACTCCTACTGGTAGCTTATAGCACCTGCAATGAAGATTACTTTATTTTTTTACTAATTGCAATTTCTAGCACGTTTTCCTACATAACAAACATTGAAAGCTACAAAAAAACCATAAGAATAAAACCTGTTGCGTTTTCCGAAGAAATTTTGCATACACCGGTAACTTCCTATTCCAAAACATCATCAAAGATCAATTATTAGGTTGGTGCAAAAGTAATGCGTGTTTTGCGAGTTCCCACTTTGACGTGTTGTAACTTTCTAAAAAATCCGTAGTTTTCAGTGCGGTCAAGTCCATCAGAGGCACCAAACTTCTCTCTGTACAGCGCACACTAATTTGTGCTAACATCACAAAACGGTGGAAAAATATGGATTAATAAGCAAAAAAAGTTTTCCCTGAAACCTCGTTTTCGAGTGATCATAACTTCCTTCAAGATTTGTCGGTTTAAATGAAAAGTTGACTGTCCTGTAGCCGCAAGCCAGTAGTACGAAAAAAGTTGAAAGGAGCTCAAACAAAGAAGATTCGCGAAAGTGAAAAAATAATATTCAAAATTGCCCGCTTTTTCCGACATTTTTTCGTAGCCCTCAAAATCCCAAAATATGGAGATTTTTGATTTTCTGTGTACTGAACAGCTTCCACATTTCTGCAAAAACTGTCAACAGGAGGCCCACTCTTACGCTTACAGAAATGAGCGAAACTTTGGCGATAGCCTTCTTCAAAGGAAATCTATGGGCCACAAAATGGTCAAAATCATCGCTCATGTTGAGACGCCGAAATTTCAGTCTAAATAATTTTTGAGAAAACAGCAAAGTGTGCATAACGTAGAAAAATTCTACTCCATACAGCTTTTAAATTTTCAAGAGAATGCGTTTACTCGCGCTGAAATTCTGGCCAAAAAAGTAAGTGCAATGAAATTCTGATTTTGATTGCGCGGTTGTATGAAGCTCTAGAAATTTCTAACGAATGAGGCTAGAAGCTTATTTCAACCACCACTGAATAGAGCATAAAAGAAGCTTCTTGATAGTATGCTGGGTAAGTTTCACAGGAGAAACTTTGATGGAGAAAAGCTATCTTGAAACAAGGGCTAGAAAAACGCGCATTACTTTTGCACCAACCTAATACTTACCTCAATATACATCTACTTATATTCGTATTACCGCTACCAAGGTCATTATGTTCCATTTGAATCTGCAGCAGGTCACCCATAGTTCTCACCTGAAGTACTAACAATAAACAGAGAATCTAAGAAGCACTGTATTTGAGATCAACCTTAATTTCTTGTGGCAAAAAAGACTTCGCGTCCAAATCTACTTCAAAGTGCGCTGAGTCTTCTACAACATTGACAAATTCGTCATTTGCTTGGAGCGGCCAATCCCACAGCTTGTTGTTCTCAACAGCAATGCTCATGCTAAAATAATCAAAAGATTGAAATAGAGTAGCTAAAAAGAACGGAGCCACATACCTGGTCTATGTGCAGAACTAAAGTTCTGCTATTTAGCACTTCCTTGCCACTTTTATATCCGTGAGGACGTTCTCTGTGCAGATAAACAACTTGGTCATGATGAGCATGCCACATCATCAGGAAGATGTTTTGCTAGAGACAGCTTGACTTTTTTACAGCACTTGCATGCTTGTTCATATGACGTTGGAATTTTCACAGGACTTTTCCAGGATTGTGAATTCACACAGCTGCAATCGATAAACATGCTCAAGACGTTCAATTTACTAGTTAGAATGTAAGGATATCCATGGATTGATACTTGTATGCGGTATGCTAACACAAATAAGCCAACAAGCATAAGCAAACAGCGAAAATGAAAGGGCACTCATTGATTTGATGAAGAAATGTTAATGAAAAACCTGAAGTATGAATGTAAGTTTCATTTTGATCGCCCAAAAAATTCGTCAAGACTTCATATGTTCATGATAGCAAATACCAGAGGCACAAGCAATACTCAGACAAAGATAGGCGGAAACCGAAAAATGTGCATTGATGACTTTCCACACTCCACTCTCAAATTTAAGAAAAAACTGAAGACTCGTTTTTCCCATACCGCATGTTGATCAGTTTCTCGCACTAATTTTTTGTAGATAGATTGCTCGTTTTTTGTCGTAGTAAAAAAGCAACAAGGTTCTGTAAACTCATGGCCAGTTCTTCTTTTGCGAGACCGTACCCTGAATGCAAAAAAAATTTTTGTATCTCTTTTGGCAGGGCATGACTTGCTGAGTTGCCCTATATTGCAGTGGTGTGAAAAATATGGTACAAAATCACAAATGTTGCACCATGGCAAGAAAAATATTTTTGATCGAAATCCCACAAGATACTGATTGTAAGCGCTGAAAAACTAACTCTTAAATTTTTGGTTACTTCTGTTTCCTGACAGATTTCATTATTTAGTTCCAAGATTTTACCAGAGCATTGAGATTTTTCGACCATGTCAAAGTTGCCTTTTTTATATTTATGAACAAAGTCTTCGCATTCCTTTGTTCACAAAAATTTTAATCTATAATCTATCTATATCTATAGTCTATCTATATCTATAATATAAAAATATCTCATCTCTAAAAAGTTCAATAACTCTTGTTTAAGCGCAACTGAACCAAAAACTGGTGGAAATGCTTTACTCTATTTTCTTAACACGTCACTTCGATCGCTAGCTAAATTTAACGATTCTATAGCTATGGTTGAGATGGTACATTACAACTTCAATTTCATTGCTACTTCTTCAATCTCCAAGAAATTCGAAAGATAATGTGTCATTCATGACATTACGCTGCCTGTACAAAGAAGATGAGTGATCTGCTATGACACTGCACTCAGAAAGCAGGTATCAATTCTGAAACAACATGATAACAACGCACTGCATCCTTCTGCGGGTATAAACAATTCAAAAACCTTTAGAATCACTAACATGTTCACCCTTTCTCTTTACTAAAAAAACATCCAGTGAGCCTCATAACTTGTGCTATCACAATTCCTTTTTTTTCGTGTGCCGACACCATTAATTCCGGTAAAAGCCTTCAGATAAAATTTCAATGTGCAAGCATCATTTCGCAGCTAGCTCTTCCGCCGTCGCCGCTTTTCAATTTTTTTTGTATCGGCATATGCTTCAGCTTCGAAAAGTAGACATCATGTGGTTGTAAAGCGTTCAAATCAGATATTGACTGCTGAACGCCGTGAATATGAGATATCTGCAATGGTGCCTGCGTCATTTGACATGATTGATTGGAAAAGGATAAGACTATTTAGATGAAAAAGATAGAGGCTCAAATTCACGGAAATACCTTTTATTTCCTGATCAACTTTAAGCTAACCATGTGGGGAGCAGTCCTGGGAATCTCTGAGAAATGAGAAATGAAAGTGGATTCAAGGCTTGTAATTGTCTTCTTTAGCCAACTAAAAAGTTAGAGATCTCTATCAATCAAGCAAACGTTTTAATACCGTCACCATCGTTGGTGTTTCAGTCCTTGAGTAAAGTTGTTCTGATAGCGCAGAATTCGTTCTCGCTGGTGGCTTAACTTGAATCAGTGTAGTCGAAAGTCGATCAAGGGGGCCAAAACATTAGCCTGACTAATAAAAGGTTCTAAAACCATACTAAATTTGGCTAAAGGAGAGAAGCACAGTTCACAAGCTATGTCACAATTCATGAACAATCAAGACTAAAAACTCAAGAGTTTTGCATAAACAGAATATATAGCTGACAGCCAGGTAATACAATTTTTTCACGTCTTTTACCTTGTATGGCGCCTCAGTCTCTGGCAAGTCAAACAAAAGTTCTTGCATAGCTCGAAAAATTCAAAATGTGAATGAAATGTGAATGATGTGAAGAAAATGTGAATGATAGAGGATTCGGTACTATCATTCACATTTTCTTTTCACAGCATAGCAAAAAGCTTGCGCTAGATGATGTTATATGGATGTTTAAGCAGACTCTATGAGATAGCTATCCAAAGATCAATTATGCTGCTCTCAGTATGAAATAAAATTGCGAAGGGAATCTAGCTAACCCCAAAAATCCTCAAAAAAATCCTTACATAACTGTTGTTCATTCATTACTGCGATAGGAACCTTACTTTGCATGGAAATGCAAAAACAAAGATTACATGAAAGATTTGATCTAAATCCTCTCATTACTACGCTTTTTTTCAACAAAAACACTGCTTGGCTTTTGAAACGTCACAGCGTATCGAGTAGCACCAGTGGCGGCCTTAGAATTTCTCTAAGGGAAGTGGGGAAGACAAGAAGTTTTCTCGAGTAAAGGTGCGTGGGTTCAGCCATGCACTTCCAAAATTTTTGCGGCCCATAACCACAACAAACTTTGAAAAGGGAAGCCGGGCCCCTTCTTTAAAACATTTTACAAAACTAACTTGGCTTTGCAGAAACTTGTTTATAGTACTTGTATAAACTTGTATATGTAACTTACATGTAACGAAAACAGATAAGTATTAGGTTGATTCATAATTAATGCGTTACTTAAATTCTTGAGCGGCAGAAAAGATATAGAACGCTAAGAAACGTATTATTCGATAAAGCACAAGCCCTAGCAAATGGTATTCCAATTATCTTAGAAAGTTTGATAAACGAAAGTTAGGAAGAAATCCTAAATGTTCAAAAAACCGGATTTCTGTTCAGGAAAATCCTACAGACCTCTAACCTGCGCACGATACTTATCGCATCAGCAATTCACTGAATATCTTATGCGTATAGTATATGCTCGACCAAGCTGGGAGTTCGCAGCATCTTTCTAATAGGAAATCTGGGCCGGTAGTAATTTGGTCGAAACTCCGGGTTTAAAGCTCCGCGTTGACTCAGAGATAACCGAGTTTCGTTTTTGAGACTCAGGAGTGGTAGTAATTTGGTCTGAATCATCATCTTTACTAAGTTTTCATCACACGATGTAAGCACTATCCTCACATCATTTTCTCAATAAAGCCACAAGGTAACCAATCAGAAGCGAAAAAGTTGAGCATTTTTCACTCGATTCTAGATTTAGCAAAGCGATGTCATTGAAAGAACTGAACTTCCAATCATTCTCATGCTTGACCGCCCTCATTGTACTTTGCCAAATTTGAAATTCGGCCTTCAGCCTTGCATCTTCCCACAACTTTCTCTAAGCTGTAAACAAGTAAGCTTTCTCATAGTAAGTTGCGGAATGATTTCCCTCACTTTTCTTAACTTGTAAAACCAACATGTCTTTGTTACGAAAAAAAATGTTCAGGGGTACTTTTTTATTTTCAACAACGATGTGACGGTTTTACGTCTGCGTCTCATCAAATAAAGTGTTATTTTCATTACTCTACCTGATAGTAAGACAGTGATGTTAACCAGCTGAAAACTTTGTAGTCTGGGTGAGAATGAAAGTGCATGAAACAGGTATGGTTTTCCGAAAGTTACTTGCTTGTTTCATGACTTTGAATGACCGATTGAAATGATTGGCCGTAAGAAGATGACCATGTTTACAACGATGTAATCATGATATATGATGTTAAGCTTAACATCATATATCGTAATTGACACTAGCCAAGATTCAGAAATAGTCGAACGTGGAATATGATGTAATCATGATTAAACCATCACATCATTCGTTGGTTTCGGCCAGATAACTATCTACCATTCCAGAGTTATGCTTATTGAAACTTTGAGCTTCGCTACCAAGTTTCGAGTTCCAACTCTCAAGCTCAGAGTTCTGCTGTTTGAGGGAGCTGTTACGCATTTGCTGCAAAAGTTGAAGTTGCTACTCGAACCTGTTTGGTCTAGGGTAACGATCCTATCACTAAACCATTAGGCCATGACACACCCTTGATCCTCAAGGGTTGTTTTGCTATGATGTACTCATGCAAAACTTGCCCTTATTCTATAATTAGGCCCATTTACAGTATACCTACCGTAACCGCCAAAATGACATCATTGTACGGAGCATATAAACTACCCGTGATCAGCGCCCCAAAAGTCGAAGTTTCGACCAGTTTTGTGGTTTTCTCAATCGTGTAGCTACCGTAATCTGCTATATGGACCCAGAGGCCAGAAATGTATACCAAGTTTGTGACCAGCGCCCCGAATAATCCCAATATACCAAGTTTCGTGATTTTCCTTGATCTCCCGCAAACCTACCGTAACTTTGCCAGATGTCACGTATAAAATGCCAAATTGGTGATCAGCGTCCCGAATAACCCCACCGGCATTAGTTTTAGTCAGTTTTGTGATCTTCTCCTGTCTACCGTAGACCTACCGTAGACTGGCTATATGACCCCAGAGTGAAAAAAGAGTACCATTTACGTGATCAGCGCACCGACAACCACCTAAGCCAAGATTTAATTTCAAATTTTATTATTAGGTTGGAAACTAAGTTTTGCAACTGGTCTCATAACTTCCCTCTCACTCAACATGGCATACTCAAATTTTGCCACTGCGTTGGTTATTACGTAAGCTACAAGAGCAGCTGCTGTTCTACCAAATTCTGACGTCCCAGTGAGGGTTACGGTAGGTGCATGGTATGATGGCGAGAAATTCAAAGTTTGACGGATTTGGCTGAAACTTGGCATAGGGGTGTTATTCGACATGCTGATCACGAAAACGGCAGTGAAATTGCGTGATAAGGGCTTTTTTGTAGGGTTACTGTAGGTGTACGATATGGGGTCTCAGCCTAAACAAGGAAAAAGGCGTTGATTCAACAAATGAATGTGATATTCGCGTTTTGCAGGTCAAATAACCTTACTATGTAAAGTCTCGGCGGAATTTGAGCCTCGGACTCTTTAGTCATTGACGGTCGTCCTCAGCAGCTCTTGTGTACATCGACTCGTTCGACTTTATGAGGACGCCAAATCTCGACATGCTCCCAAATTTTGTTCCTTTCGCAATAGGCCAAAAGAGTCAACCTCCAGCAATAATTTGTAGACAAACCCGGATTACTGCGCATGATCTAGGCTGCTAAAGGCTTCATTTTAGTTTGAAACCGCAAAAATTCTTAAATTTCACTAGTTTTGGAAAAATGCCTGAAACTTTTCTATTTCGTGTTCAAAATTTAGACAATTTGTGCTCATTTATAGCTCACATTGCCTTCTACACAATGCCAAAGTTTGAGTGCGCAATATCCAAAGAGAGTGAAGTTATGAAACCAGTTGCAAAAATTAGTTTCCAGCCTAATAAATCACAGCGCACCAAGATACCCCCATCATGACTGCTGAATCTACGAGCAAAATGTACTCCGCAGGACTTTCCAGCTGCCCCTCTTCTTTTGTGCACTATTTCTCTTTCTCTGACCAAATTCAGAGTTATATCTGATTTCACGATAGAATGGAACGCGCAAAAAACTTTCAACACCAAACCCATCGCTTTCTTGATTTGTTCTGTTTAAGCATCAGTTAAGGGGGTCAAGAAGGTGCGTGATATCGCAGAGATAACTCAGAGTTAACTCTGACTTGTAACTCTGAGTTTCGACAGGTTTACTACCGACCCAGGATCGGTATTGAACCTGTTGTTTTAGGTGTTCAAAATTTTCTAGAGTCTTACCTCAAACTTTACGCGAATCCAACGTTTTCCAGTTGTTCAAACAGTCTTGTAGAGCTTGCTTTGCTCTTTCGAACACGGTAATTTGAAAATTTCTACAACTTCTCTGCCGCTTTAGAATAAGAAATATGCATTAATTTTGCATCAATCTGGTATTTATATAACAGCATCTATTTTTGAAAACCTATAAGCCTGCTCAAATGAGTTTGATTCGCACATTGTAACACATTGTTCAAAAAGCACTGCAAAATTCTTCTCTGTTAACGGCAGGTTCCTTTATATTCAAAAAAAAAATCCATGTATATCGCCTGTACACAATTTTTTAGCGCAGGGTTATTGTTCAAGAGTAACATGATCACAGCACCAACATTAGGAAGATTTTGACCCTTCGGCTGATTGAGTTTATTTGTTTGTTTTTGTGGAGCTTGCTTCCTTAAAGGCAGTGGGATCGGCAAATGGACTCCTATCAGGTTTTGATTTGTAGACCACCCAATTGCACCGTAGTTTCAACCCCTACCCTCCAGTTCACGCGGTGAATCCCGAATAGCCGTTCGGAGTTCCACCAATGACGCCCACTCAGTGGAAGTGGGCGGGGCTGTTGGAGTTTTGAAGGGCGTTGTCAGGACTTATTGCATGGGCTAGGGGGTAGGATTGGGGCTACAATGTACCTGGAAGGTCTGCTGCCTTACACTACCAAAGTCTGATAGGGGTCCTTTTGGTGAAGGAGGCGGTCGATTGATACCCGGACAGCCGCTCGCAGCCGCACCGTGTGGTAATTAACGAGGTGCGACGCGGCCCTAACTGCGCTGCGCAACGCGGCAGCCCCTCTAGCTTCCCGAACCTCTCCCGCTTATGATCTCTCGTCATGGCATTCTGAGGTGCGAAACGACCCATCACGCTTCAGATAAGCCGGTGAAATAGACGAAAATAACTTCTTCGAAATATTCGAATCAATTGACATGTTCGTTACAAGCAAAAACAAATATGAATTTCAAGTCAAAATTCAAATCAATTTGTGTATTCAAAAAAGTTAATCTTCTCCTACACTTCCTACACTTCTTCTGGTCTAAGCACGTGTACATACAAAATCGCATTATAATTCTCAACCAGGGTAAATCCTTTGTTTTGAATTTCGCGTTTTCAAAATTGCTCTGCTTCTGGAAAAGGATCCAATGTTTTCTGAAAATTGCAGTTTTATTACATGCTATAAACCTTAGCATGTATGTGACACAATCAACAACATCGTTAGTACTCAAATCCTTCTTGGTAATAACCTAATTCTTAGAAATGGCTGCAAAATCATCAAAGAGTAAAACAGGAGCTTTAATGAGCTGTAATGACCTGATTCTAACCATTCGTTTGCTAAGTTTATGCTACGGGCCCGAAATGCAGAGGACCTAGGAGTCACTCCGAAATTTGAGTCAAAATTTCAACGAGTCAAACGTTTTCAAAGCTACTTTTTATTTCGATAAGTCGAATACTCAGTTGTCCTGCTACTCAGTTATTCAAAAATCAATTTTGAAATGACAGATATCTAATCAGTTACAGATTTGGAATAATGAAAACCATAAGTCAGATCTAATGTTCAGTCAAATAATTTTCGAACAGATAAGTTATTTCATCAGACGAAAATTTCGGCCGTAATTGATAATCTAGGTTTTCTCGCACCTCAAAGTGAAGTGCGTGAATGGCGAGAGAGAAATTGGGTAAGCATGGGCTGCCGCGTAGCGCAGCGCAAGTGCTGCTTGCACCTTCCGTTACCACCCGGTGCGGCTCCACGCGGCTGTCCGGGTATCAATTGATATGGACCCATTTTGTGAGCCACTTTATTTAACACGCTGACGACAGCGCGCATTTTTAGCTGTCTATGTTTTGGGACAATGTCTTCAAGACCAAGTTGAGAGTTTCTAGCCAAAATCAAGCAGACAGTCATCTACAGTATCCCTACAGTGCTTTTGAGAAGCAGCCAAGAAACGCGGAAGTAATTTATGGAAATAGAGCACGATAGAGCTTCTGAAACAAGAGTCATTGCATGACCCACCATGTGGATCACGTTGTCGTCATTGTGTTAAGACCTTTCGACCACGCCTTGAGCAATCTTTCCTAAGTATAAGGAAAGCACCTTGAGGCCCCGAGCAGAGTTCACGCGATTTCATCGTCGCGATTGATCGCTACAAAACTGTAACAATATCAATGCATGTCGAACTTCTTACATTTCGGTTGTGATGATTTCCAAGAAGAAATCAGAGGGTAAGTCTTTATGCATGGAAAAAGTTCCATCTGACGAAATGGCAGAGTTAGTGATGAAGAAATATCAAATTTCAGAAACATCAGAATCATCAAAAAATTTCAAACAAACAAGATATGACACGTTAGAAAGCAGGAATATCACACATTAGCACAGTGACTTTTCCTTAAGTGTGTATTTTGGCATACAAAAAACGGCATCAACTGCACTCAAATCCTCACGACCGAGTAAAGACAAACCCGCAACTCCGAATACTGTATGGAATGGATCTGGCTAAAAAACTAATGGATGGTAACTCAATGTACCAATAAGAGAATAAACCCACGCAGTCTCCGGGACGATCTGCAAAACCGCCAGTCTCGTCGTCCTGACATGCATAAATAAATTTCATCAAGGCGTCCTCAAAAATAAAAACAGTGCTAAAGAGATAACATGAAGAAATTCCTTGCTCTTGCCTTGTCCACCCAATTCAAGTGACCCAGCATCGCTAGCGACGCAAGAACCCACCACGAATAGCAAACATCGGGCAGCTTCTCGGGTCGACCTGAAGGTAAGTTAACGAAAATCATATTTCCAAGCGTTACTCTCCTGAAGAAGCCAAAACCAAGGGATTAAATTTTACCCATAAAGCCGACACGTTTGATGATTTTGCATGAATCTCACCATTCAATCCTCCACTGGCGCATTGTCGCTGAGCTAGCCATTCCGCAGTACGGTCTCTATCAATCGAGTCCAATCGTTTTGTGATACAAAGGGTACCCAGACAACAGTAAACCTTAATTCAAGCGGTACACAGATTTGACAGTTGGAATTGTTAATTACTGGGAAATAGTGCAACCCTGTCAGTAATATTTTCCTTATTTTCTTTAGTTCTCAATAGAAAAAAAAACCAGTAGACCACGCTCACCTGCCCAGAATGACTTTCGGAACCTGGTCTTGTTCCAAAACCGCCATCAAAATTATAGCAACGTAGTACGTATTTGATCGTCTTCTCCACATCAATCACGTGTAGTCTGTCGATGAGGTAAAGCGTGGCAACAGCGCAGAACGAAAACCTTGTGTCCACTTCATCTGGAAACACAACGTCAATTTTTACCCAATGAATCATATGAGCAAAAGCGAACGAAACAAACTTGACACATCGCCACCAAAGCTGCCGTCGTCATTTTGTAATCTGCGAACGTAATCGGCTACTGCATCCAGATCAAAACTGTCTAACGCTTCATACATTATCAATATCTGTAAGAGATTTCTGTGCACAATTTCAAAGAAAAGAGGATAGAGGCACCTGTACAGCGCTTAATGTATGGAGAAGATGGCTGTCATGATGGGTAGCTGGAGCAAAGCCTCCATCAGGCCGTTGACACTCTCGTATATACTCGATAATTGCATCGCGGCTCAATGCGTCGGGCTAAATGTGGTAAAATCTCTGTCATTTGGTTAGATAGGAGGATAGCTTCAAATCGCAAACCTTATTCAAAATCATGACAGCACTCACACACCAATAGATGCCACTTAATCGCAGTGGTTCCGCCATAACGTACTCCTAAGATCAAATCAGGACTATATAGCTCAAAGAAATATTTTACCCCTACTATAGCCATCCTAAATCAATGCCAAAAATGGCACTAGATCAAGGCCACCTGATATGCACCTTTCTTCTGTATCTTAACACTTCGTGACACAAGAAAAATGATTTAACTTCAATGACGATAAGGAAAATAGACATAGGAAATATGCGCAAGCATAACCACTCACATATGAATCCTTGTTCTTCTCATAATTCGTGATGAAGTCAGCATGTAGCAATGGTAAGAGATCTGTGGGAGACTTGCTTGGGATATCTACATCTTTTCGTGCTATATCCAAAAAGCCGGCAAATGACTGTAAAATCATATTGTAAAAAGACAAACGCAGACCAACTTCAACAACTTACCATATTCAAGTTCTAGTTCAAGTAGAATGATGACTAGGAAAGGGTGGGCAAAATTTGACAAACATGAAGGAATACCAATTAGATGAAAAGAAAACAGCACTGATTGGTAAGTAGTGAAAGATACGCTAATTAATTCACGTCAAGTACTCAGTGGAGATAAAAATTTATTTGATGAAAAAAAATTTGCACAAGCATAACCGTACATACAAAACGACTACAAGTGTTTCGGTTGGCAATACCGTATAACATGTGTGGAAGCGATCCGTTGCAAGGCATATTTGGAATTATTAAGACTTTTAATTACATACACGTACAAAACAACAATAACTGTCAGTTACACGCTCAGAAATGGAATTGAATATTGAATATGGTGTATGAACAAGCGTGCAGGTGATAACCAGGGTTGAACAGCAACTTTACACAGATAAGTGTTCTTTTCTCATTTCAAACACAATCACCCTAGCCTCATTAGCTCCTAAGGCACTCGCCTTCCTGAGTGCAAATTAGAATGTGAAGCATGTCTGCGCAGTGGCTTCAGAACTAGTGAGAACGATTCAAACTGTACCGACTTCTCAGATAGGGGTTATATGGCGTCATATCACCTTTCCGCCATTCGGACCAAAGTACCTTGGCCAAGAAGGCATGGAATGCAATCAAAAGAGTGACTGAAAAATCCAGTTAATTTATGATTACAGGAGGCAGCAAGATTTTACACCCGGTCGTTGCTATTCATAAAGCTCTTCATTCAAAATTAAACCTTACCAAGGAAGAACCAAAACCACATTGGAAGCCCTCCGATAGCTGATCCATGCCGATGAAGCGCTAAAAGCTGACTCTCATGAGCAGGCGCAGACATCACCTCCGATACATGAATCGTTGACCTTCAAAAGCGATAATCAAACGACAACACAGTCGTTTGAAAAAAAAAGATGAACCTCAACTGCTCCAGGTGCCTTCGACTAGTTGCTATATATAAAATAGCTGTTTCTGGTTTGGTTACCTGAACATGTGATTCCAGATCAAAACCAGAAACCTAGAAGCCATACCTTGATTTCCATTTTTGCGGGTGTTTTGGTTAATGTTATGGGCTCGTCCAAACATCCTCCTCCACAAGCATACAACGTTCCTGTTGCCGATACCTACAATATAAAGACCTTATGTGGCTGTCAACATACCTACCAATGAGAAAGCACTTACTACCTGTCAATGTAAGCAAAGGCTATATTAGAGGAGACAAAGTTGCGGAACAATAAACTCAAATAAACATCCAAAGCAAGAACGCACCTCAAAATACGGTGTATTCTCTTCATCTATTCGCACTCGAGCACTAGCTTCACCAACTCCGACCCCTATAGGCACTCCACTAAACGCTAATTCGCGATGCAAATCAGAAACTGATAGCGCAACTTCCAGATGTGAATCGTGGTACGAAGCACCGGAAAGCGACAACACGAACGCCTAAACCAAAGCCAGCAAAAATACAGACACAAAAGTGAATGGGATTCACAATAAGTGGATAGGTGCAGCAAGTTGCGAGTTATCACAGATATGAGAAAAGTATGGAAGGATAAATGATACAAATCTTGCACTAACATATGGAAAAGATTTTGTCAACAACCAACCTGAACAAGTCCCGTTGCACCTGCTTTAAGCATAGCAGCACATCCTCTTTTCTCGAGAGTCAGTATCCATATATCAGCCATCCTTAGAAGATCCTCTATATGAATCCAGTCCTAAAGTCATTGCGGGGTAGCAAGCATAATAGTACATGTCAAAAACTTTTAACAGACAGCGAACTCATAGACAAAAATTTAGGAAACCTACATGCCACAATTTTGACGGATATAAAAGTGTCGAATGTTCGCTATAACATCGCTCGTTTCGTCTCGCAGATAACTCCATAGCCTTCAAAAAGAGTGTTAATCCCATAATAACTTGGATGACGCACCTTTCTCTTATCCTCGGGAAAAGCTTCTTCCAAAAGCGGTGCTTTAGTATTGCTAAGTAAGATGTACTTCGTAGCATTGATTTGGGCACCGTTAAGAACATTTGGAGCTTTCGATAAAGACAGGTAAAATGTGGGTGAATTCAGCTAAAATGCAAGTGATAATCGCATTCAGAAAAACGGTACGCCCTACCTTTTTCCATGCGTTGTCGTGTTCTGCATCGACAGAAAGAGGCACCATCTTATTCAGAAGACTGAACTTCGAGACCACAACCCTTGCGAGTTCATGGACAACAGGAGTAGTATCCATCGCCATGTTACTGGACAACTCTCGCTGTTCGACCACGCAAACAAATCGCAACGTCTCCTCTCTGGAACGTGGAAAACAAACGAGTTTAAAAACGATCAAAGGAAATAGACCGCGAACATACCTTTTTCTTGCTACCGTGTATTCTCCAGGAGCACTTGAGCAGATGACTGCTGAGGATAAGGAAGACCCATGTAAAGGGAACGTCTTGGTGTACACCATAGTGTCGCCACTACAAATATTCTAGATTGTATGGAGCAGTGAACTGGATGCAGAAGCGGCTGTCTATAGAGTTTATGGAAACTACGGAAAATTCCGCATTATTCGAAAAAGCACACACATTTCGTCCAGTAGAAAAACAGATCGTATGAATGAGAAGCGAGACAGATCGCATAAATGAGAAGCGAGAAGACACATGAACTTCAAGCGCTCCCTTTCACCTATCCCAGAAATCAATGTGAGTAATGATTTAGAACAAAAGAAGAAAAGACCAAAAGTAACACAGAGCAGAGGTGCTCTTCCATAATCAGATGTAATACCAAAAACTCGTTCCTCACCAAAATTGCGTGGGAAATCAACTGAGCCATGCTACACTAACCATTATGGTACCGTTTGTCAGCTTACATTATTTATGTAAGAGTACTTGAGATGTTAATCACGATTACCATCCCATCTCTTTCGTAAAGTCTCACTAATGGCGGTTGTTTCAAAATCTTATATATAAAGCTGAATGTCTGTCTGTATGTATGTCTGTCTGTATGTATGTCTGTACGTATGTGCGGAATAGAAATTTTTATTTCTGAACCGATCGGGACCAAACTTGGCACACATATACTTCGGGGCAGGGAGCGTGTCATAGGCTACTTTTCGTTATCGATCGATATCGAGTTTATCGATTTTTTGCAAAATTTGAGCTACGGGGCTGGGAGTTGGCACAGGGGGGTAATCGAACATGCTGATCACCCCCGTGGGGGTGATCAGCATGTTCGATTACCCCCCTGTGCAAAATCCCAGCCCCCTAGCTCAAAATTTGCAAAAAATCGGTGAAATCGACATCGATCGATAACGAAAAGTGGACTATGACACGCTCCCTGCCCCGAAGTGTATGTGTGCAAAGTTTGGCCCCGGGCGGAGCCGGGTTTGCCATCTAGTATTTGATAGAAAGGGCCGAGACTGACCCCTATTTGAAGCTTCATTTGGGTCGAAGAATCAGTGAACCAGTATTATTAAGTAGACTTCATGCAGAAATTGGAACAGGAGTGAAAAAATAGCTTTTATAAGAAGCAAAACACACTGAATTCAGACTTTCAAAGGACCTACGTCTTGTTCGCGGTCCAACCTATAGGCTCTGGCCGAGTAATTTGTACCGTTACTGGCGATTTCTGCAAAGATCTAAATACAGAGATCCCATGAAATAAAAAGTCCCGAAAAAATACGCAACAAACCGTAGGGTTTACCACTTTGACCTCCTCTACTATCAATTCTCTCCTTGTTCTGTGGACATAATGTGTGCGAAAAACACACATACACTCACCGTCCTAAATGTGACAACAATGTGCAGGTGGTTCAACAAAACCGATCATATAACTCACCACTGCAAAACATTTAATGTTTCTAACCCTTCCAATGATAAACTCTGTGAAGGTGGACTCCGCGGAGGACCCACCACCAACAACATTCACGTGGACAAGGGGCTTGAAGCCAGTGGCAAAGTCAAGGATCTTTGATCCATTGGAAGAGAGCCTTAATGGAGGTTGTAAATAACGCGAAAGAAAACGGAGACAAGCACACGATACTTACACCAAAAAATAGAAGTTGATTGGGTTACTCGAAAAAATCTATGCGTTGAAGAATCAAGTGTATTAATAAAATTAGAATAGTAAACAGAAAACTACAAACAAATAAAATAAAAAATACGGAATTAGTACAAAAGCAACAAAAAACACGTAAGATGTACCGTAATTCTTCGTCTACATCGATGCCTACATGTCCATTCCCAGCAAACTTCACCACATTCTCATCAATGCCGATAGACATGTCCTGGAATATAAATTTCCCATCAGTAAAGGTCTGCGAATCTCTTTGTTTTCAGAACGAAGTGGGAGGCTTGGCAAAAATTTCCGTGATATAGGAGTGGGATTATACACGCATCCGCAAATTTTTGAGAAGGCTCCCAAAGTATTGGCTGGTCTATAGCTCCGCGGTAACCATGCCCTTTTCAAGAAGAAACAAGCCATGTGCGCTGATATAGTGATAAGTATGTAAATTCGAAAATTCAAACTGTACTCTGACATTCGTTCCGTACGAGCCGCGCGAAATTTGCGTACGAGCGGACTCCTCAATGGCCGTTCGCCCGCTAAATGCGCTCGGGTGATACGCGAATTTCGCGCCGCTGGTACGCTGTCACTTCGGCGCCGTTGGTACGGTAATTTCGTGCTTGAATCACTGATATGACAATTTTGTGTTAATGCCGCCGATATGGCGGTTTCGGAGACTACGTCCGGCTACAAAATTGAACGACACAAAGGTGCTATCGAAAATTGTCTTTAGGACCACCTTGCGACTACGTCCTCGTGCAAATATTGTAAACATATTCACGCCAATTAGCATTTAGGGCAGCCTAACCATTGCGTACCTTACGCAAGTATCCTTTACGCTTATAACGTGTGAAAATTACGCTATAGTTTTTGTGCACTAAAAAATGTGAGAATTATACAGAATGCATAAATAATGATTGCGCACAAACTTAAACGTCTTTTTTGACTATGGTAGCCATGAACACGTAGAGCTGCCTGAAAAGCTGCAGAAGCTTAAATTAGTGGTACGCGACTCGTGTGTTTGAAGGCACGCGGGCGGTACTGCTTCTCAACTGCGCGCCGCTCGTACTCGTGCACGCCGAATTACGCGCCGCTCGTATAGGGGGGACGCTGTGGAACGCCGCTGATCCTGAAATTTGGATATTATGGTACGCCGTTTGTACGTTTGAAGGCACGCGGCTGGTCCTGCTTGTCAATTGCGCGCCGCTCGTACTGATACACTCCGAATTGCGCGCCGCTCGTACTCAAATCCGACTGTGTCGCGCCGCTCGTACGCTCGACAGGCGCGGGTCGTAGGAATCGTTGTTTTTGCGCGCCGTTCATCCGAAACGAATGTCAGAGTAGAGCATTTTGCCTAACTCAACGGATGCGATCTGAGAGAATAAGGGAGTATAAAGTCGTCTGTATCTGCTAGGGACCGGTCATCTGTTCGAGAAAGTGATTTCTGCGATTCCTGTAATCCCCGCAGTTGTGATTCTTCGACTTCCGGTGTGCCATACTACGGACGCTTTGCGATCAGCATGCATTGTATTTCCGCAATATATACATTGTTGCGGGACTCGCAGGAACCACAGGAATCGCAGAAATTGAAGGAATTGCAAAAATAGCATGGCCAGTCTCCTAGGCTGACATGAAGACTCAATGACTGTATGCTTTTGCAAGACACTAGAATGTCAAGAAATACGAGAGCCTTACTTTGTTATCATTGTGCAAACATAAAACAAACACGACTTGCCTGAACAGCTATATCCCAGTTCTTAAATCGTTCCATAACACATTTTGCAGCTGGTGAGGCGGATCCCGATCCGGTTGAAATACCCAAACAGTATACGACGAATATTATCGCACATATAATGATGAGCAATTTGCGTTTTGGATAGCGACTGACGGTTTGGAACAGTTCTTCGAGCTCAATATCTTGTAACAACCGAACAAATTTACGCCACCATATCGATGCGTTCATCTGAAAGCTTTCATTAAGATGCAAGAGCTGAGAATCGCAAGAAAGAAACCCTAGGAACAAAAAACCCCGCCTCACAATCCCATAGCGTTACAAAGAAAATAGACTAAAAGATGCAAAGAGTCAGACATGCGGACCTTTTTCCTCAAAAAATACTGCCTACAAGAAAATTCCCTTCGCATTGTCTCATCAGCAGCAGCGTTGCGAAATTGAACGTGGATTTCCAATAATTATTTTTCTTTGTACTGTAATGCGGAATGTGTGTTCGTCGTGCCCACTGTTTTTAATCACACGTCTAATTAATCTGCAGCTGCACGCGGCAAAATTGCTGCTGAACTGCGATAACGGGTCACTCTTTGTGTGGAGGGACGGGATCCTGCTGGTGAGTTTTGAAAGAAATTGCACTTTGAATCGTGTCTTTTTTGCACGAATGAATAGCAAATCGAGGGAATCTTGCTAGGTGGAAGATTCTTCGTTTTTTTCTTTTTCAGAAACCCTGCAGTGGTTTCCTAATTTCTTCTTTCTTTTCGTTTTGGAACAGTCTATTTATTGAGTTTTAGGTCTGCAAGATTCATCACACGCATCAAACTTAAAATCATTTCATCTATGACAATTTGACTTTTGCTTTGCAGGATGTTTTCACGGAGTAAAAAGCAACAGTTGCCCTCATATATTGAAGGAACACAAGGACAGTATGTGAAAAGAGACAGTCCTCCTTTAGTGCCGTCCCTGTCATGTGAGTTTATGATTATCTATGCTTTCACATCAGTTTTATGTATCCAGTTGTTTCCTTTTTCTTCTGATTTTTTTCGATCGTCTTTTGTATTAGCAAAACCTCAGTGATCACCTCATAATGGAGGACTTTTAGCCCACACACATACGTTGGCGAAGAAAACGACAGCCCCTGCGGTGGATCGTACTGTTTCTAACAACAGTGTGACATGTACGCCAAAAACATCTGTGACTGTCCCACAGCAGCTGCACGCTGAGTCTACTGCATACAAGGTGCGTTATCGAGTGAAGTGTAGTTTTCCTATTCTAACTTCACGAGTACAGGACGCACCTGTTTGAATTCGACCAGCCTGAACACACTAAAAATTTCGCGATCAAAGAACCCTATAAGTTGCTGCATGTTGCTTGTCGGGATCGTGCGGCATAAGTTTCGTCTTTCGAACGATGCGGCTGAGCGGCCCGTTTGAAAAAACGAATAAAGTGCGTTTTGTACTCGTGAAATTAGGGCACTTATCAACATTAATACATCATAAAAACGAGTCTCGTATTTATCCCACAGAATTACAAGGGAAGTCAGTTCTCATGTTTTTAATCGAAGTGACATTTCGGATGAGCTTTATACCATCTTGTGGAGCGTCAGACCTGATTCCAGATCTGTAGTTGGTATCTGCTGCGCGCCTGTGGTCGCCGAGATATGATTTGAGTCAAATGAACATTCAGCTAAAGCAAAATCTTTGAAAATCGCATAGATGGGCCAGTGTTGTGTATTAGGGCACTTCAAGCAGTGGGTACTTCCAACTATTCAAAATAACTCATGCTTCCCACTGCTCTGTTCTAGCTGTGAAGTGATCGTCGACTCAATCTATCCGAAATGTACGTTCTTTTTTGATCCGAATACCATTCATAACTCTGTGGGTGGAGGCGCGCAGCAAATCCTAGCACAAATTTGAACTCGGCGTCTGATTTATTTCCCACAAAATAGTACAAAGCTCACCCGGAAATGCCACTTTGACCAGAAACACATTACTTGCCAGAAGATGCTTCTGTGAGCTTACTTACCATCTACTGGAACGAGTTGAAGTTCATATCTTGTTGTGCACACCATCACTGCACTAGGATAAACACATAGTACAGTATTTTTGATACCACTCTACTGAGTCTTTGATGATGTGAAGTTTTACCATTTGATCTGGTTGAATTGTCATGGTCAGCGTACGACTCAAGCGAGTTAGGAAGTTATTAGCAAAAACCATCATTATACTGGGACGTTACACTCATCCATTACGATGTTTTATATTTATTTATTTATATAAGTACATTACACAAGTGTAATGCGCCATTCAAAAAATAGAGACACATTCAAGAAGAGAGTAGGATATGAACGATGAGTAGAGAATTGAGAAAAATCTGAGCTTTGGTTCCATACCGCTAAATTTTTTGTTTATAGAAATTCTAATGGTAGTTACACAAATATGCCTCTTACACATTATCAAGAGCTCCAAACGCATGTATATCAATCGGCATAATTGCTACTTTTGTTCTGAACAGCAGAGTAGGATGAAGTACTCGATGTAATCAATCGCTTTCGAGTGGCCGCAGCTTTTTTTTTACTGGATCATTTGTCGATGCATCCATCCATCCATCCACCATCCATCAGTCCATCAAACCATCATTACGTACATACATACATACATACATACATACAGAAGTTACTTCTTTCCTTCATTTCTCTGCGTTAAGAACGAAATGCAGATCGATATATAGATAAGAGCTATCAACAATGTGTTTTTGTAGCAGATCATTTGAGATGAAGTGTTAGAATTCTTATAGTTCAGCGGGTGCTAGACTGAATTATTACTGAAACGCTGTCAGTAGAAGATATGAAACGTGGTATGAAACAAAAGTTCAGAATGCACGAGCAAGTCACCCATCGAAGGAAGGAATATATTTTGTAAGAGAAAGGATCAATTGGATATCAATTACGTTCAAATATAGATTGTAGTAGCAAACAGAGGAGCTAGGAGGAACAAATAGACCCAGAATGTGACAAATATGTCTCTAATCGAACTGAACTGAAACATCATCAAACAAAAAGCCAAGCAAAAGACTACGACGTCTATCACCACATTATCACAAAATACAGTTTCTAAAAAGAAAAGTTCCTCGATCATGCGTTGTTAATAAATATTGGACGACAGAACAAGAGTCAGCCGAAAAGCGGGACCTGAAAAAAAAACCGAGAAACAACTACGAACTAAAGAGATCGAGCCAAACTCCCAAGCATGTCGCAGATCATAAGATATGGCAGGAAAGAAGATGTGAAGCAGCCCGATTTTAACCATCGTCTGAAAAGAAAAAGGAGAAGAAAAAAGGCAGAGTAAATATAAAAGAAACACATATTTTGTAAATGAGGTTCTACATCTAAAAGTAATCAGATTCGTCAATACCTAACAATTTCAAAAGATCGCATTTCAAAAGTTTTTTCCTGAACAATTTGGAGTTAGTAGAAGAAATGACAGAATCAGGTAATTTCTGCATCCAACGTGCAGTACGGACAAAAAAGGAGTCATAAAAAGGCCTGGTTAAATTTGTTGACGCTATTGAATCAGCACAGTAAAAGTTAAACCTACCTGTACGACCGTAGCAAGGCTTCCAAACCCAGAACTCACTAGGTAAAAGCTTAGTCTCAAGACGTAATATTTGAAAAGCAAGTACTAAATCGGCAACAATCCTTCGGTAAAGCAGGCTACGGAGCTTGAAGCGGTCCAACCTACTTCTGTAGGACGGGAGGGCAGTTGGGTAATCGTCGTTAGGGATAAGTCTATAGAAAAGGATACGAGTAAAAGTCATTTGAACTCTTTCCAAAGTCAAAATATCCTTTTTTATATATGGACTCCAAACTTGGCTAGCATATTCTAACTGTGGGAGGACATAAGCCATATACATTCTGATGTAAACTTTCTCATCAACATGCTTCAAGTTACGTAGCAAAAGAAAGAGTCTACGCAGGGCTGCACTTGCTAATTTCTCGATGTGGGATCTAGATCGAAGCTCTTGATCAACTAGTACCCCAAGATCTCTTATTAGTTCAGGTCTGGAAAGAGAAGTACCAGAATGCTCATATTTTTCGAAGGTGCATTCATTCACCTTTTTTCTAGAGATTGTCAGGCAGGTACTTTTCATTAGGTTAACGTCAATGCTGTTAAGAGACGCCCAAGTCAGAATATTCTGTAGACAGCCTTTTAGGGCTTGAGTCACCTTCTCTCGATCAGAATCAGTATATGATGCAAACACTTTGATATCATCTGCGTAGGCCATAACCTTAACTCTGCTGTCAGTAGCCAGAAGTCCTGGGAGGTTACTGGTGTAAATATTGAAAAGTAAAGGGGACAATACACCACCTTGTGGTACTCCACTAGTTGCTGGGTAGAAGGAAGAGTCGGCACAATTACAACGGACAGAAAAAGTCCTATTAGACAGATAAGATGAAAGCCATTTCAATGCAGTTCCACGAATTCCTACTTTGAAAAGCTTTTCAATCAATTTGGAAATGTCAACTCTGTCGAAGGCTTTAGACAGATCAAAATAAAGAACATCGGTAAATCGCTTTTGAGATAAAGCTTTTTTCCAATAATGTTCACACACCACTAATTGAAGGGTGGTCGAAGAACCTTCAATGAAACCGAACTGCTCAGCTGGGATGAGATGGTTTTCTGCACAGAATGCCAACAATTTTCTTCTGACAACCTTCTCAGCAACTTTACAAACAACAGAGTTAATAGATATCGGCCGAAATTCGGTAACTTTACATGGACTCTGAACCTTAGGTATAGGTACGACTTTTCCTTGCTTCCATATATTTGGAAGCTCGCCACTGCTCAAGGAAAGATTGATTAATATAGAAACAGGAGTAGCTAACTGATTGGCGCATTTTTTGAACACAATTTGAGGGATGCCGTCAGTGGTCAAAAATGTGGACGATTTGAGCTTTTTCAAAATGCCCAGTATCTCCCAAGGAAACACCTGTGGAATTTGAGAAAGGCAGGAGTGGTATGGTCTAATGTCATATTGAGAATCATTGATGTTAATGAGATTCGATGGAGTTCGAAAAACCGATGCAAAGTAGCGCCCTAGATGCTCAGCTTTCTCTTGATCTGTCTTGATCAAGCTTCCTTGGTCATCCCGCAATATCTGCACCGTAGTTTGTTCTTTGAGGAAAGAACGAGCATATCTGAACAAAGAGGCAGTATTCATCGTTGTTAGCCTCCTCTGTTTGTAAGCACTAAATCTGGCTAAGTGTTTAGATAACTTATTGGTAATGTTCTTATATAGTATAGAATCTAAGGGATTTCGAGAAGTAAGGAATAAACGGTTTCTTTGCTCAATCAAGTTCTTGATGTGCAAAGGATAATTGCAAGATCTAGTCATTCTCTTTTTATACGGGACAAATCGCGAAAGCAGGTCATGCAATAATTCAATAAATCGTTGATAGGCATCATTGATCGAACTAGCATCAAGTAATGTCCACCAATCAACAGCGTCCAAAGCGGATGAGATGGCCAAGTAATCACCGCTCATGTAATCAAGATAGGAATCCACACAGGATGTATCGATGGGTATTGAAAGATCAAAATGAACACATGCATGATCAGATCCACAAAGAGGAGGTTTAACAATTACATTATGAACAATAGGATTAGATGACAAGACGAGATCCAACACATTGTTCATTCTAGTCGGATGAAAAACATGTTGAACAAGCGAAAGTTCATCAAACAAAGTCATGAATCTTTTAGATGTAGGACATAAGGGGATCTTATTTGACCAATCAATTGCAAGGTTAAAATCACCTATTAGGACGACATTGGAATGATTACTACAGAAGTTTTGTAGAAAATCGATAAGGTAGGAATCATTGTTGAATGTAGAGGAGGGAGGGCGATAAACGAGAATGATGAAACAGCTAGATTGCGACTCAACATTGGTGATATTTAATGATAAAATATCGGTCATTGGGATGGCAGGAGTAGGCACATCTTCACATAAAATGATATCACGAACAAGAACGTACAAACCTCCCCCACGTCGTTTGTTTCGATCTTTACGGAAAACCATGTAGGGAAGACCATGACACAATTCAGAAGATTCAACGGCTGGGGTAAGCCAAGACTCAGTCACAAAGATAATGTCAGGTTTTTCATGAATGAGAAAAAGACGAAACAAATCAATTTTGTTCACAAGGCTACGGGCATTAAGTAGGATACAACTCATCA